TAAGATGACCCAATAAAAGCATGGCAAAGGTTCCTGGCTTTTTCCAGTCTACTATACTGGGTTATTAGTCTTTCCTTGACATTTTATGAAAAGGTTAGGTCACTTAAAAAGGGCTATGTTGCCTCGCCGGGCTCTGTCGTTAATGCAGAATGTCCTTTGTAAACCATGATATTTGGGCAAGTGCGAGGAAGCAGCTGTCCTCTACATTTAAAGGCAGTTCCATTTTTTTTATGTGTGGCTCCATTTCTTCTCCCTGGCCGTTCTGTATTTGGCTGCAGAATAATTTTTTTTAAGGATCCTGCAATTTAGCCAGTCAAGGTGAAGCATAATGAGTGACAGACACTGCCTGTGTTTAGAAATCAAGGGGTATTGATGTAGAAACACTGTTGTCACCATAAAAAGCTTGACTTTATATAGTTGTCATTAGATTTATAGTGTATACAGTAGTTAGGCTATAGTTATTCTGAAAATAACAATATTTATAATACAGCTGATAATTGATATGATGGTTCATTATTTATATATATTTTAAATATATTTATTATAAAATAAAAATATTACTATTATTCTGTTATTCTTTTTACTATTCTTTTTTTCATTGTATTATACCTCTTTAGAGCGCAGAAGATCTTTATTATCTAATCTTAACTTCAAAGGTTTGCAGACTTGTGGCTTACTCAGGGCTTTCTGTGAACTCAGTGGTTTTTCTGAAGAAACAGATAATCTAGAAGCAGTGTTAGTCTCACAAACCCACTGCTGGTACCATCAGTCCAGTACACTTAGTCATGTCATGACACTGAGTCACTATGTCAGTGTTTGTGGTGGAGCACAAGGACGACGCTCATAAGTCGTTGTAGTTTGTAAAATGCGATCGGAGAGTCCTGCAGTGCGTTTCTCTCACAGATCAGAAAAGGCTTCACGCGCTGTGTTTGTGTGGGGATGAGTGAGAGTGTGACACAGTCTTTCTGTTGGTGGATCACCCCGCTGTGCCCGTTAACAACCTGCTGGAGAGAGACCAGAGTTCCCAGCATCCTCCTCTCCAAGGCATTTCATCACACTGCCCTCCTGCTATGGCGTGCTGTGTACAATAGTGGTTTCTCTCCAGCTCGCCATGTGTTTTAAACAATGACCTCACTTATCAGAAGTTGATCCACCAAGGTTCTATTGCATCAGAATAGTTGATGATATCTTGTGTTGTGTTGTTTTGGAGTGCCTGTTGTTGCCCAATATATTTGTTTTTTGTTTATTGTTTTTAAATTGTCCCCTTCTTTTGTTTTCCTGTTATTTTATTGTATATACTTTACTATATTTATTTTGGTACTAAAATATGCCATTTCAGCACTATAAAATTCAGGATTATAATATGCCAGTAGTGTATAATTATAGTATTATTAAATATACCATGCCCATAATTTTTTACTAACGAGATTAAGATTAAAGAGATTAAATTTTAGACCTATTTCAAATTTGCCTTTTATAGCAAAGATCCTTGAGAAAAATGTACTACTGCAGTTACAGAGCTTCCTAGATCCGAATGGTATCCTTGATAAATTCCAGTCTGGTTTTAGGACTAACCACAGTACTGAATCTGCACTATAAAGAGTATCGAATGACCTTTTGCTGTCTGTCGACTCCGGGTCATTTTGGTGCTTTTAGACTTGAGTGCAGCATTTGATACTGTTGATCATGGCATTCTATTGTCATGTCTTGAACAGTATGTGGGCATCCATGGACATGCCTTTAGTTGGTTTAAGAAATATTTTCTTACAGACAGAACCTTTTCAGTTGGCATTGGAGGCTCTGTCTCATCTGTAGCTCCTATTACCTTGGGCGTTCCCCAAGGTTCCATTTTGGCCCCAACTCTATGTTTGATTCTTAGGAGGCATGCAGTGTCTTTTCACTTGTATGCAGATGACACTCAAATCTATATGCCTTTGAAACATACTGACAGGAAAGGTTTAGAAACCTTTGCTTGCTTGTCTAAACAATATAAGATCCTGGATGTCCTCAAATTCTTACACCTTAATGAGAGTAAAACGGAAGCAATTGTGTTTGGGCCCTCTGTTGTTAATAAAGAAACAAACTACTGTTAATGTTGCCAGTCTGCACTCCTATATCAAAACGACTGTGAAAAATCTGGGAGTTATTTTGGATTCCTCTTTTACGTATGACCCAACATATGAACACAGTAGTTAATTCAAGCTTTTTCACCTGAAACGTCTGTCTAGAGTAAAGTCTTTTCTATCCCCCAAAGATCTTGAAAGAGTTACACATGCTTTCATTCTATCTCGCTTGGATTTTTGTAATTCTATAAACGCTGGAATATCCAAGTCTTCTATTACAAGGCTTCAGATGGTTCGAAACAATGCAGCCTGATTTTTAACTGGAGTCCGCAAACGTGAACGCATTACTCCTATTTTAATGGCTCTTAACTGATTGCCGGTGAGCCATAGAGTTGATTTCAAAATACTGTTGTTCGTTTTTAAATCTCTAAATGGTCTTGCACCCTCATACTTATCTGAACTGGCATGAAATTTGAACATGCCAGGCAGGTGTCTATAGTCCACAAACAGTTACAGTCTGGCCCAGCCTCAAACACGGTTGAAGTTGAGAGGGGATCGTGCATTTGCAGTTGTCAGACCAAGGCTCTGGAATAGCCTCCCCTTATCTCTGAGAATCCCTGTCCTCTGTACATGAGTTTAAATCTAAGTTACATTTTTATCTTCTTGCCCAGGCATTTAACAAATCTTAATTATGTTTTTATTTCATTATGTGTTCCTGGGTTTTTTTTCTTTCATTATCATGTATCTTAGTCTTATACTCTCAACTCTTATTGTGTTTATTTGTGCTGTATAAATAAATGAAATTAAATTAATTTGAACTTTTAAAACAACTTTATTACCCAGTGGGATGTATTTTGTGTTAAAATTGTAATGAATAATTTTTTGATTAACAAATATTGAAATCGGTTATGATTATTTCACTCTTCAGGTTATTGTTGTTTTTAAAAGAATAATATTTGAATGGTGGGTTTTTAGGGTTTCTTCATTGTCATCTCCTCTGTGTGAATATAGATAAATGGACATTTTTTCCTCTGAAAATGCTGTTTTCTTGATCATTGAAATCAGAAACCTGGAATAACTTTAACATGCCTGTTTTCATGGTTTTGGCTCTAAAGATGAAAGCAAATGTAAAAAGGGTCCTCCCAGGACAGTAAAGAAAAAAAGGAAAGAAATCTCCCTTGTGATGAGTTCCATTGGTTTTGGTTTCTTTTATTGAGGTTTGTATTCATTTTGGGTTTCCGATACATGTCAATATCCAGTGAGCTGTCTGTTTATGCACACATGCATAATGCATGGCTCTATTTGCTGCCCTCATGGCTTTGACTGCAGGTGATCGAAATGTGTGTGAAGAGAAAGGAGACCTGTGACATTTCCAGCAGTTGGGAGGAAACAGCTCTGTCAATATGATTGACACACAGTGTGTGTGTGTGTGTCTGTGTGTGTCTGTGTGTGTGTGTGCGCAAGTGATGAATTGCAGTCTATCTAAAGCTTACCATCACTCATATTCAACAGCTTCTGTTCATTCAGTGTTTCCTCAAGGATGAATGGATGAAACTCTTCAAACTCAAACACTTTCAAGCTCTAGGGTGTTGGGAGGTCTCTCTTGGTTTAGTTGCTTACACTTTGAGATGAAGTTATACATGCATTCACTCACAGTCTCAATGGACAGTACTAAAGGATTTTCAAGTATGTAAGAGGGAGAGTGTTTGATTTTATTTTAGATATACCTTGCATCTCTGTCAGGGCACATTGTGGAACTTTTGATACTTGTTTTGGTTAATAAGAGTTTGGTTTTACTTTCTGCAATGGCTTAAATGTATCCATAGTGATCTCAGAAATGTATTGTATGGCTTGTCTGACTAATCATGTTTTACAGGATGACATCTGTCCCTGCTATTAAGGAAACAGCCCCCTGTGGTGTTCGTAAGGGGATCTCGATGCAATGTGAAATTTACAATGCGACATTTAAAGGTCATTGTGGGGTGAATAGTTGGATTTCTTGAAGTCTTTGCACCGTTGTTTTACTATAATTATGGTCTCAATTATTTTTGTACATTTAGTAATGAATACGTGTTTGAAACATTGTAGAAGGATAATTGTGATTTAAAAAGTCTGAACATGTAATCGGTAGACTGGTAGAAAAAAAATTATACATTCAAAGAGCTAAAGATTATGTAAGACTGAAAGATTATCGTACAAAATTTGAGGACTGCAAGATATTTTTTAATGTTTCATATTAGCACAAGTCACATGATCAACAAGGCTGCAGTAATATTGTGAAATTTTATTACAATTTAAAATAACTGCTTAAAATATTTCAAAAAGTATTCCTGTGAAGGTAAAGCTGAATTTTCAGCAGCATTACTCCAGTCTTCAGTGTCACATGATCCTTCATAAATCATTCTAATTTATGCTGATTTAGTGCTCAAGAAACATTTCTTATTGTTATATTTCTTATATATTTCTTATATGTTGGAAACAGTGCTGTTTAATATTTTTTTCATTCTTTGATAATTCTTTGATATTCTTTGAAACATAAGAACTGCATTTATTTGAAATAGAAGTTTTTTGTAACATTGTAAATGTCTTTCCTGTGATCACTTGCATTTTTTTTGCTAAATAATAGTACTAATAAAAAAAAAAAGACCCCAATCTTTGGGAATGTAGTGTGAATGATACCATAAAGGTCACAAAGTCAAGATCTGTTATCCTTTGCAACTTAGTAGATCAACCCAAGACCTCGTATGGCGCATCTCATCTCTCAGTCAGTAGGCAGTGAATGGGGCGGCAAAAATCTGAACGAGTGTTTCCTGTCAGTTGTCCTTGGCGTGGTTACCTGAGTGTGGGCCTTCACGCTGGGCAATGGGGGCAAACAGATGCCCGACTGGCACCCTCTCTCTCTCTCTCCCTCCCTCATTTTTACTCCCTCTCTTCCAGGCTCTCTGGTGGGTGTGGGTGATGTCATCTCCCAGCAGCTGATTGAGCGCCGTGGACTGGCCAATCACAGCGCGAGACGCACCACCAAGATGATGAGCATTGGCTTCTTCTTTGTTGTAAGTCTCCCGTGATTCTGTTCCATTTGCATATGTGTTTCTCTTGAGATCCTCCAGCTTTGTTACTTCGCACTGATGTAATTTAAATATAGAAGCAAGAGAGTTAAAACTGAGCTTTGAAACTCTTCACGGGTGTCATTTATGTCCTCATTTGTTATAAAATTGTGATTCTTTTTATGTTTTGTATTTGTTACATTCTTTCCAAAAAAAAAAAAAAAGAACACCGCTTTCAATGGAGAAAAATACTTTTTGGCCCAGAATGGTTTTATTACATGCGTTTTCGAACCAGAGTTATCTGACATATACTATTGTTAAAAAGTTTGAGTTTGGTAAGATTTTTTAATGTTTTGGAGAGAAGCCTCTTATGCTTACCAAGGCTGCATTTTTTTGATAAAAAATGCAGTAAATACTGCTAAATTTTATTACAATTTAAAATAACTCCTTTATATTTTAATATATTTTAAAAGGTATTTTTTCTGTGATGGCAAAGCTGAATTTTCAGCATCATTACTCCAGTCCTCAGTGTCACATGATCCTTCAGAAATCATTTTAATATGCTAATTTGGTGCTCAAACATTTTATTATTAACAAATTTTGAATTCATTTTCCAGGGTGATGAATAGAAAGCTCAAAAGAACAGCATTTATTTGAAATAGAAATCTTTTTGTAAATTATAAATGTCTTTTCGGTCCTGAATTTTGATTTATTTTTATCTTTTTTTGTTTTTGGTGGTATTGTGGTGTACACCACAATATTTATTTTTGCATAATAAATTTTGAATGATGGCATGACAATGTAAAAAATGTAAACTACAAAAACCTTGCAAACATGGTCAAATCCTGAGATTTTTTTCATTCTATTCTATTCTTATTGCTATTTCAACCTTTTTTTTGCAGTTGAAATCAGATTAGATTTTACCAACTCCCCATGTTAACAAGCAAACCCTTGGCACTTTGCTTTAAATTAGATAATACAACTTCAAAAAGGCAAAAAAAAAGAATCTTGCTAAATGTCAGTGAACTCAAATGTTTACAGGTCTGTTGTTTTATGACTATTACTGTAAGAGACTCTTAGGTTACTGCTTATTCGTAGGGGGAGCATCACAATGGGATGTCAGTTAAAACACCTTGAGGCAATATCCATTTACAAGTTTTATTTCACCAATGCCAGTACATCACTCGTTCCACAGGTATCAGACTGGTTTCTGAAATCTGTACACAGCCACAACACCATATGAAATAATCCAGAGCAGTGAACAAGGAATGAACTGACTACTGCTCGGAAGCAACCCTTCTTAAAGGCCCCTAATTGGAGCCAGAATAGGATGCAGCTGTCAACAGTGGGTGGAGCTACATCACTATGTCATAGGTTTTCCAACAATTACAGATAATATGTGTAGGGGTGTCATTTGTTGGAACAGGTAATGAAGTTGCAGAGCAGAGTGATTGACATGCACACAGTAATTGATATATTAAGCGTCCTGCTCTTCCCTTCCTCCCTCACACACGCACACAAAGCACTAATGCACTAGTTCTGTCCAAATGACTTGAGGTCTAATCTGCAAATGGCCTGTATGATTCAAAGCTTTTACAAGCCTGAGCACACTCGATTCAGCCTTTTAAACATCAGACCGTAGTTGTTATTATTAGTGCAGTAAAATCTGTTTCACTGCTGTTAGAACAAAAGACTGAACCACAGGTCAGAACTTCAGGTGAAATTCGTCTTGCATCTCCTGAAATTAAATCTTTGAAAGATTTTCTGTCCATTGAGCTATAATTATATTGCATTTCTGACATTCTGTTGGCAGTTTAGGGTTATAGGCTGTATTCTTATTGCCCAATCAACCAAATTAAGCAGAAGCTCAGTATTAATCATTTTATGTGTCATATGGCATCCGTTGTTTTGCTAAAAGGACGGGAAAGAATGCAGAAAGACAATATAGAGCTGCTATATATTCACTGTACATAGAAAAATGACAAACGTCTTCTCAAACAAGTCTACAACTGTTTGTTAAAGACGCCCATATGCATAATTTGCCATTGGTGGGTGATTTTACACTGATGCTGCTAAACTGCAAATTATAATTGCATTAAAAGAGAGATTTAGCAAAGGATTCAGTTGTCATTGTTGACTAAAACACCCCCGGGAGACTTTGTTTGACACATTTATTGATCGGTTTGCTAATCAGGCCCAGACTGAAACCACACTGGGAAACAAAAAGAAAGCTCATTAATTCACAGAGGATTGGAGCTAATTACAGCCTGCTGTTTTCATAATCACGTCATGAACAAATGAAACCACTGGCACGGCCTCAAGATTCTGAGCTTGTGTTTATGATTGTTTACTGAAGTGTTTAAAGTGCTACACATATGTGAGATGCGTTTAATGAAGTTTTCTGTGACTTGAAGGGTCCAGTAGTCGGTGGATGGTATAAGGTGCTGGACAAACTTGTTACTGGTGGTACTAAAAGTGCAGCTTTGAAGAAAATGCTTGTTGACCAGGTGAGCCATGTGCAATGTATTGCAGTAATTGTTTTGTGTGTGTGTGTGTGTGTGAACTACATGGTATTAATTTATTCATAATTAGTACATATTTGTGTATTGCAAGACAAAACATTGAGATCAATTCAAATGTATTATATATACACAATCCCTAAAAGAATACATTATTCTTATATACTGTATATATATATATATATATATATATATATAAATAATGCAACATTATGAAAAATATGACTTTTAAATACTTCTGCCATGACATCGCTGAGGCTCATTCAGATGATTTGAGTTCAAATCTGGCCTGTCATTTTCTCATGCTGTTCTCCCTCTTCACCCCATCATTTCCTCTCCTCTCTCCACTACAGTATTAATAAAATAATACAAAACACCAAAAATAAAGTCAGACCTCAACATTCGGTATATTACAAAATATCTTTAGTTATAAATACACGCATGGAAAGTTTTCCTTAGAACTTGTGTGTGTGTGTGTGTGAACTACATGGTATTAATTTATTCATAATTAGTACATATTTGTGTATTGCAAGACAAAACATTGAGATCAATTCAAATGTATTATATATACACAATCCCTAAAAGAATACATTATTCTTATATACTGTATATATATATATATATATATATATATATAAATAATGCAACATTATGAAAAATATGACTTTTAAATACTTCTGCCATGACATCGCTGAGGCTCATTCAGATGATTTGAGTTCAAATCTGGCCTGTCATTTTCTCATGCTGTTCTCCCTCTTCACCCCATCATTTCCTCTCCTCTCTCCACTACAGTATTAATAAAATAATACAAAACACCAAAAATAAAGTCAGACCTCAACATTCGGTATATTACAAAATATCTTTAGTTATAAATACACGCATGGAAAGTTTTCCTTAGAACTGACTTTCTTGTCTTTGTTGGGAGTATGCAGACACATGTAAAGTGCTTATGAGCTTCTATTTATTGCTGTTGCTACGTACTTTATCCCTTTTGGGTATCCCATCTGAGCACTCCCTTCATGCATGTCAAGTAATCCATCCTCTGATAGGCAGTCAAACAAATGAGTGTTTGCATAAGTCATTGTTTACATGATTGGTGGAATGAATGTACAGGATGAAGCGGACAAAGGCACGCGCAAGACAGGCCCTCTCCCCATCACCGGATTACACCCAAACAACAGCGCTTACAACGCCAGCCTGCTCTCCCACATTTATTCAGAAAAGAGATTCTAGGGCTATTTTTAGAGACCCACTTTCTAAATTTCTAAAAGCCTGTATGGCCAGCGAGAAGTTGTGTGTTTGGTTGCTTTCATCTGTAGATATAAAATTTTGTTTATTGAGAGGCTTACAAAGGCTGATTAAACCTTAAAGATGCATGATTTATTCATAATAGTTTTATTAAGAAAACATGATTTATTCATAATATTTTACAAAAAAGACAAAGATTCCCAGTCAAGTAGCAGGTACTGTCATCATGTCCACAGCTTTATTTAACTCCTTATTACTTCTTTACATGCATTCTCAAGGTTTTGCTCAGTAACTTACACTGTCTCTTAATTTTTCCACAACAATATGCCTAAAATGAAAATAAATTGTAAAATATATTTTTTACAATGGGTTTGTTACACATTACATGCTATACTTGCTATAGTAATAACAATAAATGATGCATAATTACATGTAACTAACCCTAAATCACAACCTCATCCTAACCCTAGAGTAAGTACATGTAGTTAATTAATATTACTCAGTACTTAAATGTATAAGTACATTCTAACAAAGACTACATAAAAAAAAATAAAAACTTGAAATGTTTTTTTTTTTTGGAAAAATTAATATTTTTCCATGCTACATCGCCATTTCAACTTATGAAACAAAAAACATTGTGGACTTTGTACCCAAAAGTCAAAGGGAAAGCAAAGGGGCTGTTTTCAGTCTGTGCTTGACAGATTTTTTATTGGTTTCTGTAACAAATCTATTTGGGATGTCCTTTGGAAAACCACACAGGAATGTGCTAATAATAAATGGATGCATCAGTCTCTCATTGTGTCCTTGATAGCTTTCAACATGTGCTATGCATATTTCATCAGATGTGAAAATGTGAGGCAGTAGTCTATAAATGAACAATTAGACTGGATTAGATGTATAATGGTATTTATTATGAACATTAAACTTGATTAATCATGTACATTTATGTGTCATCTAAAAATGAATGTGAAGGTTTCTATAAAGTAGATTAGATAAGTGTTCTAATCAGATATTTGTATATCCACAGGTGGGCTTTGCTCCGTGTTTCTTGGGTGCTTTTCTGGGAATTTCCGGAGCACTCAATGGACTGACCGTGGAAGAGAATGTGGCCAAACTCAAGAGGGTCAGTTGTCATCACAAACCTGAATTAAATACAAGCATTGTGACAACATGAAGGACTAGTTTTAAAATGCAAAAAAATGAGCGTTTTTCACAGAACCTGAAACGGAAATGTTTTTGGACACACTGGGATGAAAACCAAAAATGAAAATGCTAATTTAGATTTGTATTGGAATAACTGAAATTATATTAATATTATTATATTAATTATTTTTTATTATATTAACTATTATTTTCATTTTTTCTAAATATAGAATAATCAATATAATAATTAATAAAAATATAGTATAACATATTAAAATAAAATATTGTGTACCATCAGTAGTCCTGAAAGTCCACTCTCACACCAGCTTTCTGTCTTGTGACACTTATATTGGCCCCCCCTCCATAATTAGAGGATATTTCTGCTGTTGAATGGATGAAGGGATGGAGGGCCGCAAGGAGTGACTCATGGGCTTGTAGGAACAACGGTTGACGCAGCATTGTCTCTTTGAGTGGTGCCATTAATTATTTATGTAGGAAAGGTGTCGGAGTTAAAATTAGGCTGAAAGGTCAGTCACCTAAATGTCAGAAAAGACAGAAAGCTAATGATAAATGCGCTCATTAACCCAAACAGAAGAAATGCGAGCTGAAAGCCAATCACTAAAAACACCTTTAGTGATGCTACTCTGTGACTCGTCTTAAAGAATACCACTCTGATCCATTAAAACATGTTTTGTACCTGTTGGTTATTAGTAGGGCTGTTTTTGCTTTAAACAGGTCCTCCAGTGCTGATTAAAGGGGTCATATGATGTTGCTAAAAAGAACATTATTTTGTGTATTTGGTGTAATGAAATGTGTTTATGTGGTTTAAGGTTAAAAAAACACATTATTTTCCACATACTGTACATTATTGTTTCTCCTCTATAACCCGCCTTTCTGAAATGCGTCGATTTTTACAAAGCTCATCGGCCTGAAAAGCGAGGTGTGCTCTGATTGGCCAACTATCCAGTGC